AGGCTAGCACACTACCATTCTTCCATTCAGTTGTATAACTTAGCCATTTTTTTCCCAGTTTTTAGTTTGAAAAGGTATCTGTTAAGTCTGTGAAGCTGGAGTAGGCCTTGGACTCCCGAGTAACCGGAATTACAGGCTTGTGTCACCAAGCCTGGATTTTTAATGAGATGGGCCCCACATTCTCCCGTATTTGACTTGAACTAAGAAGAGCACACACCAGATTGTATATAATGAGTCCACACTGAGGCCTTGACACAGCCCATAACATGTAGGAATGGCCAAAATCCATAAAGTCTCCTTAGCCTGGATAACTAGCTGGTGACTGGTGAAAATTTAGACTTTGGTGCTCTGGAAGAAAAGCAGCTGAAGTAGTAGAATGTTCCACCTTCCCTGCAACTGACTAGAGATCATCCAAGGCCTGTTTCTATACAGCCCTCACCTGAGGATTACTTGGTTCAGTTTATATTTTAAAAGACTTTCAAATACACATACAAGGAATTGGCAACAGGATATCTGTGTCCCTAAGGTTTAAGATATTTACCATCTAACCCTACATAGGGTAGGGTGGTGGGAATTGCCAAGCCCTGCAGTCAACCAGAGGTTCACTAGATATGGGCCTTATGCCAGCTTTCTGATGCTTGGATCGCCTCCAAAATTCACGATCTAGGTACGGAACCTGTGTTGCCAGCCCTGAGTGGTTCTGATGCACTCTGCAACGTGAGACTTGTTCTGTTATAGATCGCCTTTCACTCAGTCTTCCAGCTAGCTTGACAGATATGGAGGGATTCCGAGTAGATGTGGCCAACTGGGTTTTGTTGATATTATTGTTGTTTTGTTTCCCAATGACTTCCATTCTCAACACATCTATAGTTTGTACTTCTCTCCCAAACCCCTGTCCGGACTTTCATCCGACCTAAAGATACGTGGAGGAATCTACGGCCTGTGTATGAAAACAAGAGATTTGAGGGGCTCGTTAAAATGGCTTAGTGGCTAAAGGTGCAGACCACCAACTCTGACTGTGTTCAATTCCTAGAACACATATGGTAGGGGAGAACTGGCTCCATCCAGAAAGTTGTCCTCTGACCACCACACATGCACACTGTAGATAATACAAAGAAATTGATGAATGATATAATGAAGTTTAAAAGAAAACTGTGGATTTTATTGTACTAAGTATAGTTAGTCATGTCCCTCAACTGTGTGATCCAAAGTCATAGAATGCTGACTGGTCACTTCCTTCCCTGTTCCCATTCTCTTCCTTCTGTCTGCCTTTATGTCCCTCTTCTCTCTTGCTGTCTTCTACTCTCTCCCTCCTGCCTCCCTTGGCCCTTTCCCTATTTCCTTTTGTTCTTTATCCCTGCTTCTGCTCTTCTCCTGCCTCCCTCTGCTAACCTTTGCCTCTTCCCCTCTCCAGCTGTCTCTCATTTTTTTCCCCTTATCTGATTTCACGTCTGCTTGTCCAGGGTTAAGGTTAAGACAGCAGCAGCAGCATTTCCTGTGTAAATACATTCCTGTTAATAAGCACATTACCTGGGAACTTCTGCCTGCAGAGATTGGTATCTATGAACCCTAGCAAAGGAAGAGGGCTTTACATTGCTGGTAGTGGCCAGTGTCTTGATGGCAGTGCTCCCAAGAGTAATAACGTTAGCCATAACATTTCATGTTTATGCCACTTGGGAATACTTTTCTACCAAAGTCCTTTTCAATATAGTCTGGGACCCTAGTGGGTGCCTAAGACTTTTCCAGAGCTTCTGAGGTCAAACGTTTTTTAATCATAGTCCTAAGATATAATTTTGCTTTTTCCATTTGTACTGATTATACAAAGCAATACCAGAGAAAACGGCTGACTCTGTGACTGGAGCCAAGGAAAGTAGTCATCGTGGTGCTTATGATGTTCATGAAAGAAGGAGAGAGAATAGTCGGATTTATTTTAAAAGATTTCTAATGATACCACTAATTTTATTAAACCTTGATCTTTGAAGACATGTGCTTTTAATGCCTTGTGTGAGAAGATGGGGGTGTGCCATAGAACATTTCTCCAGGGTAAGTGTGTTTGACTTGGGAGCTTCCTTAGTCCCCTTTTCACTGAGCACCATTTTTATCTGGAAGACGAGCTGCAAAGGAAACTGTGCCTATGCTAACTTGGACTGTGTGGCAGACATTTTCCTGCAAGTGAATCAAGGCAGCTATAATATTAAGAAAAATATCCTACTGGTACAATGGCGAAACAGAGTGAGCCCTCCTTAATGAGACAGAGGCTATGTTAACTCTTTTAAAGCCGCCTTATGCTCTCAAATGTCATTTACTGTTCAAGGAAAATGTGCTTGCGATGCTAACGAGAATTCAAATTACAGAGCTAAGACTATTTCCTAAAGTTTACGTAGTGGGGAACCACTTATTTTCTACATTAGAAAAATTGAGCCCATGCATTAAAATCTTCACCCCAGACGGCATTCCACAAATGTGCGATTTATGGTCTCATACTGTGTAGTGTTTTACATTTTCACACAATTTCATCCATTCTTTTTCATCTGACCCTCATGCAGGCCTCTGAGTCTCTAAAACAGTTTGGAGATGAGAAAGTGGAGATTCAAAGAGGTTAATTGTCTTAATGCACTTTACCCTTTCCTGCCCTTCCATCTGTTATCTCAAGGCCCTGAACTAAAGGCAGTACAAGTGGAGAGGAGGTAGGCGGTGTACAACCTAGCAACTAAATACTTGTGAAAGAAAAGGAGATACAGAAACCAGGGAATTTTCCAGATCTCTTTGCTTTAGCATTTAAGAGGGAATGGATGGTTGAAGAAGTAAAAATAAAGACAGACTAGAGTCTGTCAATAAATGTGTCATCTGCTTTGAAGAATTCATTTTGTTTGTTTGTTTTTTGAGACAGTGTTTGTCTGAGGAATAGCCCTAGCTGGAACTAGCTCTGTGAACTAGGCTGGCCTTGAACTCATGGAGATCCACCTGCCTTTGCCTCCCTGGGATTAAAGGCGTGCGCCACTGCCAACCAGCTGGGGAATTCTCAAGGCCTAAAGACTGGGACTTTACTGTTTACTTGGGAGAGGTCGCGTGTGCACCAGTACTCTCTGATTCAAGAGAAATACGAATGAAGAATGCCTTAGGAAAAGCTTAAATGAAGACCTGTTGCTGCAGCTCACCCAAGAATGACTTTTGGTCACAGGAAATATTTGTGAGAAGAGGAAGTATATGAAAAGGGTGCTCCCAAATGGTCAAATTTGGGTGTGCAAATTTGAAGAATTCCCTCATGATAAACTAGTGACGCTAGCATAGCATGTAGATAGTACTACAAGCAGGCTGATCTGGTAGAGAAGGTAGTGGGGAGCATGGCGTGTGTATGAAGATGCACAATTAGAATTAAATCTAATCACTCTACTAAATTATTGGAGATGTTGGCATCAGAGTCTGAAAAGATGATGATGCTGTATATTATGGTTTCGATGTAAAATATTTCCTGAAAAATAACTTGTGTTGTTAGACTCTAGCATCTAAACACCGAGGAGGAGTCGTCCCCAGAGACCACCTCATATACCATAGCTAATGCAAAAGCATGAGGATTTTATTAATTCTGTCATGACAGGGTCCCTTAGCATTCGGGAAGCCAGGAGACCTCGAATAGCTGGTACAGTCTACTTTTAAAGGGGCCACAGAAGCAAGAGCGGTTGTTCTTTGACTATTCTGATTGGCTTATTCGAAAGGGCTATTACCAATAATTGACTGGAGAGCTGTTGCGAGATCAGATGAGGTAAGAGGTCATTTTGACCCCATTTCCCAGGGGACCGAACCAAAGCATATGTATATGGGTAATTGTTCAGGAACTGAGTACGTGCGAGTGTAGCTGTTAGGTCCTTGGTTCCCAGGGGAGGAGGGGAAGCACTATGGCACAGAGGCTGAGAGGATTCAGAATTGTCAGAAATGGCTTCAGAATTGTCTTAAAGTTTTACAGTGTGTTGAAGGCCTTGGTCCCCAGCTGGCAGCAGATGAGAAGTGACTGGGGTCATGAGGGTACTGACTGACCTCATCAGTGGACAAATCCACTGATGAGTTTGTAGCTGAGTGGTCTATTAGGGGCCTTGCTGGAAGAAGTTTGTCACTGGGGGAATGTGCATTTGAACAGTACATCTATTCCTTGGTCCCTTGCTGGCTATCTCTCTGTTTCCTGGCTGCCATGATGTGAGCAGTTTTGTTCCCTAGTACATTTCTGCCATGACATACTGCCCCATCACAGGCCGAGGAATACCAGAAACAGTTGGCACAGCTCTGAAGCTGCGAGCGAGCGAAAATCAGTGCTTCCTTAGCTGCTCTCCCCGGTGCACCCATGTAAGCCCAGTACTTGGGAAACTGAAGAAGAACGACTGCAAATTAGAGATCACCTTATAATCCACAAAAAACTCTTTCCTTTCTTCCTTTGATTTTGTCACAGGAACGAAGTATTAGCTAGTACACTTTAGATAATGGACAGTTTTCTGCTTGTTTTTTTTTAATTTATTTATTTATTAAAGATTTCTGTCTCTTCTCCGCCACCGTCTCCCATTTCCCTTCCCCTCCCCCAATTAAGTCCCCCCCCCTCAGCCCGAAAAGCAATCAGGGACCTGGATGGAGGTGGGGGTTCCTTGGACTACTTGGTTTTTTTTTTAAACAAAACTATGTTCTGTGCCATGTGTAAGAAGTACACAGCTATAATTCTAGCTACTAAGACTGGGGCAAGAGGATCACTTGAGCTCCAAGAATACAAAGACATCTTGGACAGCATAGTTAGACATCTTCTCCAATCTATAGACTTTGGATAACTTTATTCTGCTCTTACTTAGACATCTAGTCGATTCCTTATCTTGCATTTTTACCTGAAAAACATCCCTGTGTGTGTGTCTTGGAGAAGTATGCCTTTGTCTTCCAGATCCTTCTTCTCTTTGCCATTATTTTTGTTATTTCTCACAGCAGAATCAATCTGATTCAGATATTCGCTATTGTTTTTTCCTTAGAAAAGTCAGAAAAATATGATTCACGTGATGTTGAAAGGCTTCAGCAAGATGATAACTGGGTTGAAAGTTACTTGTTGTGGAGACACAGTGTTGTGGATGAAACCCTGAAGATGCTTGATGAGAGTTTCCAGTGGAGGAAAGACTTTTCTGTCAATGGTAAGCTGTTGGACTTCACCTTGACAGGGTAACACCATCTATGCAAATGTTACTGTTAGACACTTGTCTATATTTTCACACATCCCTAGCATTCATTATAAACACTAGAATATTACCCTTAGGGGCCTAATTGTACTTTCAAACGGACAGCGTGTGATGAAATATTAGAAGGAAAGTCATTCATAAGAAAATCAGATCACAATTATCAAGTCATGCATTGTCACGAAAAGCATGGTTGCCTAATTTGTGTTTTGTTCGATTCCATTAACCAATGGAGAAATAAGTAGATATTGCTGTCCTGTTTTGCTTTCTCAGTTGTTGCCCGTGCTTGTGAATGTTGTGTAACCTACTGGGGAGCCCAGAAAAGCAAGCTTATCCCCAAGGATTCCCTGTGGCAGACTTCTCTAAACTCTTGCACTAGGTCGAAATCTGTCATCAAAGTGTGTGTTCGAAATCTTAGAGGGAATTTTACAGTCGTTTGCAGATGTGGGAAGAAAGCTGCCAGAATGTTTATCTATTGTGTCCCTCTAAGACTGTTGTAGTAGGAGCGGCGGGGTTGCTTCCCAGGCACCCGGCCGCCCCCATGGCTAGCTTTACCCGAAATAATTACACTGAAACTGTATTCTTTTAAACACCGCTTGGCCCATTTCTATCTAGCCTTTTCTCAGCTAACTCTCGCAGCTGGGCTAGCCCATTTCTTATAATCTGTGTAGCCCACGAGCTGGCTTACCAGGAATGATCTTAACCTGCGTCTGCCTGGAGTGGGAGAATCATGGCAACTCCTGACTCAGCTTCTTTCTCCCAGCCTTCTGTTCTGTTTACTCCACCTACCTATGTTTTAACTTATGAGGGCCAAGCAGTTTCTTTATTGCTTAACCAATGAAATCAACAGATTGATATATGACACTCCCACATAAGTCGTTAGCAAGAATAAGTAGACATAATTGGCCATTTCAGCTACCTGGACAGCATTACCTGTCCTAGACGACTGTGGCTCTGGAGTGACTGAGTCTAAAGACTTAACACAAAGTAGGGCTAATTCCCTCCCCCATTCTTTATATTAGAGTCCACAAGAAAGGGCATACCGAAAATAGAAGAAGTAAAATGGTGGGAAATGTAAACACTCTAGTAAGTTTGAACAAAAAAAGTGTATTCGTCAAAAATGGAGCACATAGCTGCAATTTCTAAGTCTTTTTAGCTCATTGAGAATGTCATACTAAATGCAACAATGCATATATTCTTGCATAGGTTGCTAGTTCCTGGTAACATAGAGCAAAGATATGAACTAGACAGAGGGAATGAGAGAGAAACTTGGAAAGTTCTCTGGGAAGTGCTGGCGAAGGAAACGATCGTCTTCCGGGCGCTGCCTTGTCACCTTGGTCCTCAGCCTCCCTAGACACTAGTTAGGTCTGTTTTTTGTTTTTCCTGCTAAAGAAGTTTAGGTTTTTTCTTGAATTATTTCCCACCTGCTCTAGAACATTAGAGTTCACTGTATGTATATAAAACTTTGTAGAAAAACAACATCTTGGGGGTGGGCAGATAGCACTGTAGGTAAACTACCTGTTGTACAAGCATGCCTAGGTTGAGATCCCTCGCACTCCCTTCAAAAGCTAGGCATGGCTAGATGCATGGGTAATTGGAGTGCTGGGCATGGAGGGTGGGGCAAAGCCAGTATTCCAGGGGGCTTTGCTGGCCAGCTAGTATAATATAACCACATTGGTTCATCAAACTCTATATTCAGTGAGAGACTCTCTCATGAGCTTAAGGTGAGAGCGGTAGAGGAAACCAACCCAAATTAGTGCCTGGTCTCTATACACACACCCATGGGGAGGGGCCTAGAGAGGAAGAGAGAAAACACAGAGAAAAGTCGCATCTTGCTAGACTAAATAGTGATATTTGTCCCCTTCAAATTCCAAGGTCATGTGAATATTATTAGTACAATATTACTAATGTATTTTTTGTTTGTTTAGGAGGAACCTAGGAATGGAATCTATGACCTTGTGTGTGCTAAGCATGTACCCTCCTACCACTGGATTACACTCAGACCCACCCCACCCCCGGTGTTAAATCAAATGGTCTCATAGTGTTAACATGTGTTGATAAGTCAAATCATGGCTTGAAAGCTGACCAGAATCTGCAGATACCCATCAAAATAAGAGTTTTTTCCTGTTCTTTCCAGCATTTATAAATCTTGTGTCAGTTTTTCTCAGCAGGAAATAGCTTTTGTGTTACCAGCCACTCTTTCTAATTTTTGAATAAGTTGTGTTTTAGTCAAGATTTAAGTAAGTTGTGTCTTGTTCAAGTTTGAGTGATCGTAAAACTACTGTGTACCGTTCCCTTGACAGTGTGAGTTTTCTTTTAGGTACATAGGTTACTGTTACTGATCAGAGTTTACCACTTTCCAGATCTTAGCGAATCCTCTATTCCAAGGTGGTTATTAGAACTTGGTGGTATTTATCTCCATGGTTATGACAAAGAAGGAAACAAATTACGTAAGTATATTCAGTTCATACCCTAGTGTTTTAAGATTTTGAAATGTGTGTCTGTGTCTCAATTAATAATCACAGAACTTTTCTATATGTCTATGCAACAAATTTCCTGCAACTAGAGGTGTGTGGCCTTCTTTACCCCTGTCAAATAATATCAAGGCATAGTTTGCATTATCATAAACTAGGTATAAACACAAGTGCTGTTTCTTAGTTACTTATCTAGTTCTGTGATAGCACTGAGAAGACCTCATGACCAAGGCAACTTAATCAAAGTGTTTATTTAGGGCTTATGGTTTCAGAGGGTTAGAGTCCACCATGACCATCATGATGGGGATGATGGTAGCAAGCAGGCACTCAAGCAGTGGAAACATAGCCAGCATCATATCAGTTAGTCATTGTCTTCTTCCTCCTCGTTGGTAGCACTTCACCTAGTATGTATTTTTATGGAGAATCTTTTGATAGTTGCTAAATATGCAAAATGGCCTTTCAGTCTCTCGTGGTCTCCTCTTAGCTTTTTCTGAAATCTGTGTGGCAATGGGAAGAACAGCAGTCATCTGCTGTCCACATGACTTTCTTCTTCTTTCTTCCACTCACCCCAGCCTAGCCCGATGTGGCACTAAGGCTGGGAGAGCCTGCATGTGCATCTTGCTTGCCTTTTCTTCAGCTGTGAGTTACACCATATTTTGACAGTACAGTACACTTTCTTCGTATCCCTCCTGCTTCTTCTTTTGCCATTTTCTTTTCTTAGAGCTCTTTCGTGGTTTGCTCTTGAAACGTGTTTTGCAGAGCCTGTTTTGTTCATGGTTTCTTATACTTTGCAGCTGATACTGTCCCATGGGGTCATCTCAGATACATCAGCTTTAGCAGACTCCCAATTCACAGTGCAGGTCCCGTGCAACTCCCAAGCTACTTGCACATACCCAGCTGCCTGCCACCTGCTGTCCCTTGACTGTGAGCCACCTTCACCATGGTCAACAACTCACCCTCATGTCCTGCCACTCATGTTCCTTCTGGATTGTCAGCTCTGGCCCATTTCTTGGCTCTCCCTGTAATTTAGCTTCATTTTGGTTTCTGTTTTATCTTCACCAGCCACTTCCTCAGTTTAGTCTTGCCTAGCCTGTCCCGTTATTGTCAGTTCCTTCCCAGGTTATGACGAGATAGATCACCTCCCTGGCCTCTTTTCCACTCCAACCTTTATAGCACTGCCAAGCTAGGTTTTGAAATAGGAAAGCCAAAACGGAGCTAAAACTTCAGAGTCATCTAACCGTCTCCTGCTTCTGCTCTGCTTATCTTCTCCCCGTCCCATTTCACCTGAAGCTTTTGCATGTTCCACTCCCCTGCACGGCACTCCCCAGGCCCCCCTCCTGCCTGTCTGTGTGTTACTCCCCTGCACGGCACTCCCCCGGTCCTCCCTCCTGCCTGTCTGTGTGTCCACTCCCCTGTACGGCACTCCCCCAGGCCTCCCTCTTGCCTGTCTGTGTGTCCACTGCCCTGCACGGCACTCCCCAGGCCTCCCTCCTGCCTGTGTGTCTGTTCTGGGTGGAACATGTTTTCTAGCATTTGATCAGACCAGTGGCTTTCCTCTTAAGTAAGCATAGAGAAAAGCACTTCTGGGTTATTACAAAGTGGTGTTTGGTCACCTGCATTTTCTCTTCACCTCACTTAAAAGTGACGTCTGTTTATTTCGTAAAATAGCCTCTCTGCTACTCTGTAATTTAAAGGTCCCAAGTGTAACTATTTTCCTTGTAAGGAGGCAAGAGATGTATTTTATTCAAAACAAGATGAATTTTAAATGGAGGAACATGCCAAGGGAAGGATATATATCCAATAAAATGCTACAGATAATATGCTTATTTTTTTTATCTGCTGTTTTGCTTAAAGTCTGGATCAGAGTGAAGTATCATATAAAAGACCAGAAAACCATAATGGACAAAAAGAAGCTCATAGCGTTCTGGTTGGAACGATATGCCAAGAGAGAAAATGGGAAGCCTATCACGGTGATGTTTGACATGTCAGAAACTGGACTCAATAGCATAGTAAGCATTCTTCATTAATCCTAAATCGTGCCTTGTTCTGGTTTCCTCTGTTTTCCCTGTATTCTTGCCATTCAAATAATGTTGTAATAAAGCTAGCAGAATCCAAAAGGATTATTTTCCCCCTTGCATTCTATGTGAAGCCAAATGTGGAATAGGGTTTGCCGAGAATTCAATTTGCTTCAGTATTTGGTATGGGTACTATGTTTCCTAACAATGGTCCATGTCTGTTGTGAAAGGCGAAGAGGTAAGACATGGAGGTCAGTAGGACATGGGTCATCGTGATGAACACTGAACTTTGTGACCATGCTAATATGCCCCAGCACCAACCACTGTGCCTGGCACAGAATAACATAGTCACTAAGTACTGAATACGTGCATGAGCACTGTGATCTTAGATTTCTTATATTTCTGCCTTGTCTTAAAGGTACAAGATGTTCATGTGGGTGTCCCTCATGTAACACGCTGTGCTTTTGTCGGGCACTTGTGTATACTTCTTGAATGTTTTTATTTGTTCATTTTATTTAGTAATCTTGGGGATTTTACCAGCCTTAAAACTTAGTTAAATCACTAGTTACAATAAGAATACATTATCCTATGTATACCAATGGCTATAGCTACTTGTGAAGCTGAGGTATAAAGATCATTTAAACCTAGGAATTCAAGGATAGCTTGGACAGCACGCTGAGACTGTCTCAAAAAATAATGAGTAGGAAAAAGTCTAGATGGCCAACATGACAAAATGGTAAATTATGTTATACCTAATTGATAAGGTATACGTACTTATCAATTAATACTTTAATAATATTGGTGAATACTTGTTTAAGATCAAAAGAACTATTTTATTTTATTTCAGTATGTGTGTTGGTCTGTAGCCCAAAATAGTGATGTTTTAGATTTAAACAAGAATAGAACCAGAGTAGAGAGAACAAATCAAAAGAGCTTTTGGAGAGGGAAGTGGCAGAATGTTTTCTCACATTAAGAATGCAATTCCCTGCAGTTTTAAAAAACGTAATTTCCATTGAGTGGATTTTAAGTTACAAAGTAAAACGTTTTATGTTCTAAATGAAACTAAAATTACTTAGATAAGATAACATTCAATAAAGATAGACTATGATTCTGTTGTTTTTTAGGTACCAAAGTCGCCTATTTATTACCTCATAACCATGAACAATGTATGTTAATGTTTTCTGTTACCCAATATAGTGTTGACAGTAGCCTTTGACCTTCCTTGCTAAAAGAATGAAATCACTTAAAATCATACAAATAGCTAAACTTTAAATAATCAGCATTTTAGGAGAAATATAGCCATTCTCAGCAGTTGAACTAGAAAGAAAAATCTTGCATGCATCGTCAGAGGATGAACACTTCACATAAGGGCATCATTCTGAAAAGCACCCTGAGAGATTATAAAACAGGCTGTTTCATGGAGCTGTGTTATGTGGTGCCCAGTGTAGACACACACCGCTGACATCAAGTCTCCTAAGATTAGCAGTAACTTAAGCTTTTATGAACAAAGACATTCAACTGAATAAATGATAGCAATGACTACTAAATGAAGACTAACTAGTAAGAGTATCTGAGTGTGGTCATGCTTGCTTTTAAAGTAGGTAACCAAAATTTTGTTCAGCTAGTTTTTTAAGCCCTTTCTCTGAGTCTTTATATAGATTTTTGAAACTATGACCAGTGGATATAATGATTATTTCAAAAGGTATTTATTGTATACTAGGGCTTTTCCCATATTAAATAGTTATGGCTGGGGATGCTTACTTTCAGTTTACTGTAATTAAAGGTGCCGCAACTCATATGCTAGGGATGACTTTGTAGCTTGTCCCATCCAGAATAACCAGCTCTTTAGTAGCTGTCCTGGATTTCAGCTTGTCTGCTTAACTCTTCAAATTAGCAGTGTTTATAAGGTGGCCGAGCAGGATTAATGAAACAGCCTGCTAGCATGGAATAATATGGGGGAAATGAAACATGAAAAATATCCCTAATGACCTAATTTCCTGTTGGTGCATATGAAGCAAGAGAACCAACCAGACAGCTGCTTAATACAGTCTCCTAACAATTGGAATGAATGAACAGCACTTGATTAAAAACTTAAAAAAAACCAACAAAAACAAAAGTAATCTGAGTCCTCTTAAATCAGAAGTGAACAGGCAGGTCTGATCAGTGGGATCTTGGGTAAAATATTAATACCGTATTCTTGTTGAAACTCTTCTAAGGTAAAAATTAGATTTAGAAAGTAAATACTTAACCATAACGTATGTATGTATAGCTACAAATGAATGCATATATATTTTTCCAGTTAATCAGGTTATAAACTGTATACCCTTTTTAATAATTCTTTAGTTGTTAACTAGAATTTTCGAGTCTCTGTGGGGATAACTTTTACATACCCTATAGCTCTTGTAGCCTGAAGCATAAAACTAGTGTGAAGTAATACAAATAATTTTTAAAATACCAGTAAGTGTCTAGCTTTTTCAACTCAATTTCAGAGCCAGTCCTTAGCTTAATGATCTAAAACCTTAACCCTTGGGTCTATAGATATTTATAATGACTTTGCTTTTAAGAACAATAGTCATCTCATTTGTATCGAATAATTTATCACCTTTAGGAATCTGTAATTTGAAGTTCTCTAATTTGAAGTTCTAAAGTCTCAAATCTTTAATCTTTATTTTAGGACATGGACTTTGTACGCTTTATCATCAACTGCTTTAAGGTATATTACCCCAAATACCTCTGTAAGTAACTTACTCCTTTATAAAAATATATCATGTTGAAATTATAGATGAGGTCCAAAAATTATAAAGCTTTCTATTGTAGAGTTTCCTACCTAGAACATTGTTTGCTGATGAAACACTTTAAATGTATTCCTGGGTAGACCTGTAAATCCTTATCATGGTAGACAATTTTTTGAAGTCGTTTTCCTTTACAGTTACTTGTACAAGTGACATTCTAAACACCAAATATTCCATAACTTCTAACACACAGCTGTGTGCAATTGTATATTCATTTGCAACATGAGCCCTTTTTTCTTGATCTTTGTCTAAAATTATATTTATTATATGGCACTTGCTGCTTGTAAAAGCAGATTAGGAGTACTGATAAGGTACATTTTACATTAAATAAATGCAGGATGTTACTACTTGCTGTTTTCAAATTGGCACTAGGAAAATACTGAATAAGAATGCACTACATTTGACTCTGGTATTTAGAAAGCTTCATCGTCTTTTGTTTCCTTCTGGTGCTGGAGATTGGAGCCAGGGCTTTATACGTGCCAGGCAAGTGTTTTACCACTGAACTAACATCCTCCACCTTGTTTAGTTTGTTTTTAGTGGTAATTCTCCCATTAATGATACAAATGATGGACTCCTAAGTCTTATGTGCACATTTTTCATCTGTTGGATTTATGTAATGGCTTTGCCATGGGGAAAATAAGTGGCCAAGCAACATAAACAGTCAAATATATTCAACTCCAGTTCAGTAAAATTGAAAGGGCAGGAGAGGCAAAAAGGATATCCAAATGGCAATTTACAAAACTGCCTGCACATTTTCCTGAGAGATACCACAATTTGGGTCTCTTGGGTAACCCAAACCATAATGGATGTCTAGAATCAGCACCACCTACAACCCTATACTGCATTCTCTTTAGAGACTGTGAATGTTCATCAAGAAAATGACTGTGCCCAGGTTGGGAAACTTTAACCATCTATTACTCCTTGTGTATCTGCCATGTATCCTGACTCAGTAAGTTTTGCTGAGCAGTGAGAGTATCAATGGGTACTCTAGAATTACTATTTCATGAACTTGCTTCTTTTATGGACAAAGCAAAACTGAAATGTTTGTTTATTCAGGTATCTAAAGGATGTGGTGAGCCATGCAGAAATAATATTAATATAAGTATTACATTATAAAATATACTCCACCTTCTAAAATACCTGTTGACTGAAATAAATAAAAGCATTTGTGATGAGACACTGAGAAAAAATATAACTGTAGTTATTTATCAAATATTTTGAAAGGGCTGTTCATGGGTTCATATAAAAGTGAACGGGAATATTTATTGTTCATTTCAGTTAACTATAGATTGTGTCCGTGTTCTACCAAAATAATGTGGTTTTGCAGACATTTGGTTTTATGGGCTCTTAAACTGATAGTTCTTCAAAACCTGCCATGAACTATTACACCTTAATTATAACTCCACTGAGTAAGAGAACTACTGAGCGCCAGGCTACCTCTGACTGATGCCATATTCTTTCTGTGCACTTTACTTTGTGCTAGTTTTGTGTCACCTTCTCTGGGAGTCTCTGCTCAGAGTAGAGGGAAATTACATATTTGGTTCATCTGGAATAGAAGAACGAATTGGCTATCACAAATCTCCTTTGTGGTTACTGATTTTTTTTTCCCCTCAGAGGTGTTGATGGTGCTATTTAAGAGCCTCAGTTCCATATGTAAAATAACAGTTCTGTGTACTTAGGAAGTGTTGGCTTCCTGGGCTCATAGCGTTTAAGAAAAAATAGTTTCTGTTTCTTAGAACCAGAAGAAAGGGGCAGCTCTGTGACTAGTTTAAGGGTGTAATCTCAAGGATTATTATAAGGGAAGCCATAAATTAGGCATGTAAATATTGTTGTTAAAGTGCAGTTGCTTTCAACACTGATCTGACATGCCACACGTATGTCCCCTTAACTGTTCTGTGTACTTTTGTTCAAGCAGCAACATCAGCAAATGAACAGAGGAATGCTTTGTTTGCCAAAGAACAATGACAGTGCATTATTGGGACCCCTCCCCATTGTGAGGTGCTGGTCAGTCCCAGCACCACCCATATGTCCTTGAATTAAAACTTGGCCAATCAGCTCAATTTTCCCTCACGTGGTTTTTTTTCTAGATAAGGTCAAACTGGTAGAGTAATGTAAACTTACTAAGTTGAACTGAGTGATTTTTTTTTTCGTCTTTCAGCAAAAATAGTGATCTTTGATATGCCTTGGATAATGAATGGTGAGTATATTACTTGTGTTTTCCCACAGCATCTCGGTTTTCTTTTGTCTTACTTGACCAGTTCAGCCATGTTTATACAGCTGTTTAGGAAAATATGTGTATTATTCTTCTGTACTCTTAAGAGGCTACAGCCGGAGTACTGAAAGATTGCTTTTAAACAAACAGGGCCGACATTCTCGTCTGAGACACTGAGAGTTTTCCCACTAGTCTTCTCTAAAACCAGCCTCAAGATAATGTGCCATTTAGGCAAAACAATGACAAGAAGCCTTGTTCTGTTTCCCACACATAGGGTATCTAATAAAACATGCGTTGGCTAGCTTTTCTCTTGGGCTTTCAAGTGTTGAGGAACAAGGTGGGAGGAATCTGAGTCACTCTAAATCCCTGGAGTCACTTAGCCCTTTTTGACAGTCATAATTTTCCTCTGAGCGATTTGAAGGGGAGTGCTGCTGCTTCAACGTTCTGTTTCCATTGGTATTGCACGCACAGCAAACAGGACGGTCACGCTACGAACTGAAATTCGGTTCTGTGAAAACTTCTTGACTGGTAAACCTTTTAATACTGGTAAAGAATAAAGAAACACTTAGTAAAATGTGAAATCAAAAAACAGAGGTCACTACTGACTTTATGGAATTAAAAAATAATTTTAGCGATGAAATTAGAAAACTAGATGAAACTGATGAATTATTAGAAAGACATAGACTACTCAAACTGGCTCAAAAATAATCAGAAGTAGTAGCCAACAACCCCCCAAAAAAATCCCACAAAGAAACATTCAGGGTCTGGTGGCTTTTCTGGCAGATTCTATGAATTTACCCTGATCCTTTGTAAACAGTTCTAAAAATTGTCCACAAAAGACTGCTTGTAACTGATTTATGAGTAAGTACAGGCCTGACACCAAACATCAGATGAAAAGAAAACTACAAACTGCAACCCCTTACACCTAGAGATGCACCGGCCCTCTGAAGGTCCTATGGCTAGGGGTGTGGACTAGCCTGTGTGAAGCCCCACCCCTAGTGCTACAGAAGGCCATAGCTAACCAACTGTAGCCAAAGCAATATAAAAAAAAAAAAACATTATAGGCTACAGAGATGCCTCACTCAGTTGGTAAGTGCTTGGGAACTGAGTTTAATCCCCCAAGAACCTGTGCAAAGAAGCCAGTCGTAGTAATAGCATGTGCCTATAACCTTAGCATTGGGAGTGAGGGGTGAGGGTACCAACAGGCAGAACTCTGGGGCTGTATGGCTAGACAGTCTGACCTAATTCATGAGCTCAGGCTGGGGAGATCCTGTCTCAAAAAAACAGTGCAGATAACTCTTGAGGAATGATCCCTAAAATTATCTTATGGCTCCCAGATGCATGCATATGCATGTACACACACACACACACACACACACACACACACACCCCAAAAAGCATTACAAACAGGAGTTGTCTTAAGAATGAAAAGTCGGTCCAACTGGGAAAATCAGTGTAATACACCATATTAATAAAATGAAAAAATGACAAAAATCTAATACCATTTCATAAAACTCTTTAAAAAGTAGGACCAGAAAGTGCTGTTGAAACAGTTGATTTTAAAAGGATCCTAGCAGTTCATAGAAAGCTACCTTCCACAAACTCAAAAAGTTCCCCAAATGCCTCTTATGTTCCATCATTCACTATGACTGCTAGAACCACTGAAAGCAAGGATGCTCACTTTTGTGATTTATTGTAAGGAACGGATTCAGAGAGACATGTGTGCTGCTCATCCTGAGGCTGACAGAGAGATCTGTTTCACATTTGCCAACCAAGGAAATTCTTTGAAGCCTTTGTGCCTTGGTGCTCAGAAATTGTCTTGGAGCTCCATTATGTGGGCATGATTGATTTTGCCTGTGGTTAGTCACTTTATGGCCCACTGCCCCTACCTTAAATCACATGTTGGTTTTCCAAGTCCCAACCTAAATCCAAAATCCTGCTGTTCTCACTAAGGCCCCCAGACTAAAAAAAGACAAGCCTACCAAATAGGAAGGCTACCTCCCAGAAGCTGGGAGCAAAGGCCAGACCTCTCTTTAAGTAAGGGTAAATTTTAACTGCACAGAACAGAGGGTTTTGGCATTTATGATAACCCACGGCTAGAATCATTTGGGAATTATTTCAATAAAGCTGGCATGAAAAAAAAACAGAGTTAACACTTCATTTAATTTCAATAGCATGACTGTAATCCTGACAAGTCACAAGCTGTTTTAAATTGAAAAGGAAAGTTTAAATAGTAGTTGAACAAAAGCTTAAATCATAGTGAACCAGAATTAACAAAAACCATGATTTTCTAAAGCACACTTTAATGTTTTTATTATTCTCCCCCCCCCCTTTTCTACTATCATGTTAGCACATGTACTGTAGCATTCTGCTTTCAGCTTTTTCCAAATGGGTTAAATCTCCCAACAGAAATATTTTAAAAACTGAGTATAAAACAAAGGGCATAGCACGGGACAGAAGTGGAACTGTCAACGAGCTGTGCCTGCGAGTAGTTTATTCTCAGCGTCTTGCTCGTGGTTATATAAACGATGAGGCCTGGGAAAAATGCAGAGTATTGAGTCAGGAAGGAAGCTGATTCTGGCGCACTAACTTTTTTGAATAGCAAAATATATATATATATAAGTGTCTAAGCTGATGTGCATTTAGGATTCAGAAGTATATTCAGAAACAAGTACTCAGGCAAGTCTTCTACTCTTGTCTCAACCACCCTATTGCCTTCCATGATTGCATTCCATATCTTTATTTCCAGGGGTGTGTATTGCGCATGTACGCAAGTGTGCATAAGCCTTCCTCCTACTCATCTATTAGGTGGTGTGAGAGGAACCCCACATTAGTAGTGTATTGGTACAGTATTTTATCAGGTTTTTGTTTACAACACAATGGAGAGACCATTCCAAATGTGTGTGTGGCAAGCTTCTGACTGTGTGCTACAGTGTTCCAGCATCTAACACGAACCATAAGTTACCCAATTTGCTTTTCATGTGTGTTCTTGTTTTTTTTCCCCGTCTTTCCTATCCAGTAGTCTTATTAATTTGAAATATATCCTTTAAAATGTGCTTCCAAAGTTTGGAAGGGGTGTTTGCTTTTGATTGATTGATTTTCCTTTATTGTGAGTGTTAAGGATCAAACCAGAGGACAGATTCACACTACGCAAATGCACTTGCCCAGCCTTCAGAATTGATTTGAACTGATTTTTATTACTTATTAACATAGGTCAGGAACGGGTGGGTGTGTTTGAATTTTTTAATGTTGTGGCCAGATGTGGTAGTCCACACCTGTAACCTCAGTACCCAAGGAGGATTGCAAATTCTAGGCCAGCCTGGATTTCATGGTGATTCCCCATCACAAATAATTCTTTTTAATATCTCCATAACTGTGAAAATGTATATGACAGTGACATTTCCTAAATTGTGAAACCTATGTAAATAACTGCAAGTATTTTTTGCCTGCCTGACCAAATTGTATTTAAGGAGAACCAAGGACTAGCGGAATTAGAATTTCACTGTCTTGTTTATTTTCATTAATCAAAAGAGACTCAAACCAAATAATTTAATTTGAAGTCTGTACCTTTCTTATTCTGGAACTTTGTAGTTCACATTTTAACCTAGAAAAACTAGCATTTCAGATACTAAGCTTGTAATTAAAGTAAACCATCATTGCAATTATCCCCTTCTTTGTTTATGTTTTTTTTTGTTTTAGACTGAGTCTCTTCTAGACTCTGAAGCACTCAGATTATAGGCATATAATTATCATATTTAGCTATCAGGCCTACCTCTTCATGTGTTTTGTTCACTTGTGTTTTTTTAAGATACGTTCTCTTCTCTCTGTCTCTGCCTCTCTCTCTCTCTCTCTCTCTCTCTCTCTCTCTCTCTGCTGTGTGTGTGTGTGTGTGTGTGTGTGTGTGTGTGTGTGTGTGCAGGCCAAAAGGAGCTAAAAAATACCTTGGAACTGTAGTTCCAAGTACATTTCTCTGTGAGCATCCTGATATGGGTACTGGGATCTGAACTCTGATCCCTGATAGTGCAGGAAGCACTCTTCAGCACTGAACCACCTCTCCGGCCCTTGTGTTTGCTTCTGCTTGCTTCTGTGAGGTGTTTAAGTATGTGTGCATGTGTGTCCATACCTGTACATGTGGAGGCCCGGGCTCAACATTAGCTGTCATCCTCTATTGCTCTCCACCTTAGTTTTTGAGACAGGGTCTCTCACTGCACCTGAAACTTACTGTTTAGCTAGACTCGGTGACCATTAAACCCCTAGGGTCCCCCTGTCTGCCTCCCAGTACTGGAATTATGGGCAAGTATTGATTGCCTCATGTGCCTTTTCACATGGGATCTAAATTCAAGTCTTTGTACTTGCTCGGCAGTCACTTAATCCATCTTTAGCCCTCTTTATATTTTTTTTATATTTTGTTTTAGTAATATGGTTTTTTTTAATTTTTTGTTAATTGATTGAGGTTTTTCTAATTCTTAGTGCTAGTCATTGAACCTAAGTTCTCCAACATGCTAGGGAAGTACTCTACCATTGTCAATATTCCTGCATTATCTGTGTTCTGTGTTGGATAGGAGAATCTGCCTTATTTAGGTTTTAGTGGATTTGTTTTATTCCTCTTCTGTTTTAATGTATGGTTTAAAAACCACACAAAGATACACACACTACATTTAATGCTTCTAGTCATCTGAACATTTTTTTTTACTGTGGAGTAAGCTAAAGAAGTAACTTGATTGATTTTTTTCTTGCATAGCTCATAATTATCTCTATTTACTGCCCTTTCCCTTTCTAGTTTGAAATGAATCCCATTTTTTTCCTTATTTCACTAATTGAGCATATATTCTTGGCTAAAGTAATCAATTTTTAATATACCATGAGAGAATTATTTCTCTCTACAGTACTAGCAGGCTGATAAGGAAAATTCTCTCCTTTAGGATCCTTTCAAGTATAGCTACCCACCACTGGTAGATGATGATTTCCAGACACCTCTGTGTGAGAATGGGCCAATTGCCAGTGAGGACGAAACCTCAAGCAAGGAAGATATAGAAGGGGATGGCAAGGAAACCGTGGAAACAGTTTCTAACGAAGAACAACCAGCTCTGTCAGAAAAGGTAATGTTAGGAATAAAGTCAAACGGAATCAAAAGCTGTCATCTAAAACTTGGGCCATAGCTCAGTGGTAGAGCGCTTGCTCAGCATGCATGATGCCCTGGGTTCGACCCCCAGTGCGAACGGGAGAAGTGCTTTCATGTCTCCCTCCCCAGCTCTGCCTGTGTCTTTGAGATAACCCAATCTTGCTTCCACATTTTTCTTGAGAAAATGAAGGAGGACGGATGAGGTAAATTGAATTGCAGTATCCTTTTTTTTTTCTATCGTGTAAAAAGAGCTGAGTTCATGCTCTGTGTAATACTTGGCAAAGTACATCTGGAAGGAATTTTTTTGTCAAAAATATATTTATTTATCTAAGATAAAATAAAACTGATTAATATAAAGCTTCACCTGGATGAAGTTACTCTTTATCTCATTTTGAAGGGCTTGATAATTGTCACTCTTTACAAAACTTAGCAAGGGCTTGCTTGATAAGTACATTGTAATTTAGAACAAATATCTTCAATAATGTCATGTTTATAAGAGAATCATAATGTTTCTCAGGGTCATGTCAATATATGTTAAACATGTCATTTCAGGCATGCTAAACATGCTAAAAACTAATTTGCATTGAATCTAGATGTTTATTTGTTCTCTCATGACATGTCCAACTAGAACTAAAGCATCATCTTCTTTTCTCCTTTGTTTCTATTTTTGTTTTTTAATCTTTAGACTAGCCCAATTGAATCTGCTTCCAAGACAGAAGAAAATGAAAAAGTTGATTCAAAGATGAAAACTTTTAAAAAGCCATTGAGTGTTTTTAAAGGGCCCTTATTACACATCAGGTAACAAAGATTTTACTCACTGCATTTCTGTAACCTCTCTTGATCGTCTTGGGGGTGAGGAGGACTGCAAGATTAAGAAAGCTTCCTAAGAGTACATTTTTGTCCTTTGCCTTAAAACCTTCTTGTGTAACTGTATTTGGAGTTTATTGGAGTACATATTCCATCAACAATATAGCTATACTTCTAAAAAAATGTAATCTGAAATTCTCTAATTGATAAAACTGGTTTGTTTACATGTGTCTTGATTCTTGGTGGTGTTGGGTTTGAGTTTATTGCCATTGTCTGTGTATGTATGCGAGTAAAGGAGAGACACACAACATAAATTTTGTCTCCCATGGTTTTTCTTTGCCTTTTTCCCCTTTGGAGTTCGTGTATTTGCACCTTTTCTTCTACTAGTTTTGAAGTCAACATTTCATACTTCACAGAAGGACCATCCAAAGCATAGATCTAGCCTGCAACTCTGAGGTTTACCAATGAAAGCAGCTGAGAAGGCAGGGCAGAATAGGACAGTTTCCAGGGCTCCACTTTGAACATGACCCCACTCCCTGTGGCCCTGAGTCGCAGAGCTGCTCCTTCACATACACAAGGATGCCACCAGTGTCATCTCCCTAAGCTGCTTCTGATTTCTATACTGTTTACTGAGACACGCTCTAGCATCCGTACCATCGCTGCGTTTTCATGTCTCCTTTTTTTTTTTTTTTTTTGGTTTTTTGAGACAGGGTTTCTCTGTAGCTTTGGAGCCTGTCCTGGAACTCCCTTTGTAGACCAGGCTGGCCTCGAACTCACAGAGATCTGCCTGCCTCTACCTTCCGAGTGCTGGGATTAAAGGCATGCACCACCACTGCCCGGCACTTTCTTTCTTTTTTTTTTTTTTTTTTGGTTTTTCGAGACAGGGTTTCTCTGTGGTTTTGGAGCCTGTCCTGGAACTAGCTCTTGTAGACCAGGCTGGCCTTAAACTCACAGAGATCTGCCTGCCTCTGCCTCCCAAGTGCTGGGATTAAGGAAGTAAGCAATCCTGTATGTTTGTTGTCTTGCCCAAAGGTGGGCAAGTTTGTTCTTAACCACAGGTCTTCTCTAGACTAATGAATATCCTTGGTGTGAAGACATTTTTTGTATAACAGAGCAGATAGAAACATAGCTCCATCTGGGCTTACCAAATGCAGGCCTTCAATTCCAGGAGTTTTAAGAGACAAGAGGCTTGCTGGGTGGTGGTGGCACATGCGTTTAATCCCAGCACTCAGGGGGCAGAGGCAGGAGGATCTCTGTGAGTTTAAGGCCAGCCTGGTCTACAAGAGCTAGTTCCAGGACAGACTCCAAAGCTACAGAGAAACCCTGTTTCAAAAAAGAGACAAGAGGCTCACACTTGGAGCCTAGCCTGGGCTACCTAAAGAGTCTCAAAACTTTAAAATACATACACACAGGCACACTTAGGGTTATTTAAAAAAATCACTTAAGCTATTCAGTTTTCAATTTAAAGAAAAAACACTACTCCAAATGTCCTTCCTGTAATTTTGAGGCACCTGATACAGTTTGGCTAATGTTAAACTATACAATTTTTCTGGAGAATTGAATCTTTTCATTGTAGGTTATAGATACTGCAGTAGCAGTAATAGCATTCTTGGAAGCTTGAGGCTTCCTAGTTTTACCAGTTTAAGTGCTCTGCCGTTGCATAACTCAGAATAGCCATGGTGTAGTAAGAAATTATTCTGTTACATAAATATATCCCTAATAATGATTCTGCGAGATTATGTTCTTCTTGTTGGTCTAAAAAGGCTGCTCAAGTCTAATGTGTTTTGTAGTTAGGAAGAGCTGAAGCAGCACTGGGGTCTGGCCTTTTTCTTTTATTATAATCCACAACCTCCCAGAGAGCTTACCCAGATCCACCTTAGATTGTGTTGATTATAGGATTAATTCAGCGTCTTCAGAATTCTCTCTTCTGTTCCTGCCTGTTTTCCTTCTGACCTTAGGGAAAACCATAGTATTTCCTAGCTTGCATAGCATCAGGAAGTTTAAAGTACAAAATTATATTAGGTAACTGTTTTTATAGTCCTCTTGTATAAGGAAGTCTCTTCATACAAATGAGCATAAACTATCAGCCAAACGGTTTTTCCAGACTAAGGATTATAATGCTATTTAGTCTGAGTACTACAAATGCCTTATTTGTTTATCCACCTAGCCCTGCCGAAGAATTATATTTTGGAAGCATGGAATCTGGAGAGAAGAAAACTCTAATAGTGTTGACAAACGTCACGAAAAATATAGTGGCCTTTAAGGTAAAATAAAATAAAAAACAATTGAAAGCCATAATAAATTATGAGGGTGAGATAATGGCAAGTGATTTGGGGCATATACTTATGGGAAGAGTAGAAGTCAGACAATAGACAATTGTGTGTAAATTACCCAGCTGGTGCCCTGTTTTTATTTCTAGTACTATGAACCCTGTCCTATTCCCTTCTAGTAAGGCTTCTAATGAGCACAGTCTCCTACACTTCGTATTTGCTGATCCACGAGGGTCCAATAGAAACCACACTCCGGGTTCTATGAAATGTGAGGGCAAAGACACTTTCAATTTGACTGTTTTATCCTTCAGTGTTGGAAAGCAGATGTTTCATCTAATGAAGGTTTCTGCACATACATGAAGGGGACTGCACATACATGTGCACATATATGTTTACATACAAGAGAAAAGCTAGGGCCAGGTGTGGGGGTGCATGCCTTTAATCCCAGATCATGAGAGGCAGAGGTAGGTGTATCTCTATGAGTGTATGGCTAGCCTAGCCAACATAGCCAGCTTCAGGCCAGCAATGGCTACAAAGTAACACCCTGTTTCAAAGAAAAAGAGAGAGAGAGAGAGAGAGAGAGAGAGAGAGAGGAAAGAAAGAAAGAAAAAGAAAGAAGGAAAGAAAGAGAGGAAGGCCAGTGTCAGTAGGATTTTAAAGTAGGTTTTAAATAACTTGGGATGTTTTTATCTTATCGGTGAAGACAAATAGCATTCTCCATGCAACAACCAAGGTGGATGCATAGACTTCACTCATTGTCTATTAGCTGTTCTTTTGTTTGTTTTGAGACCGGGTTTCTCTGTGTAACAGTTCTGGCTGTCCTGGAACTAGCTCTTGTAAACCAAGCTGGCCTCGAACTCACAGAGATCTGCCTGTCTATACTCCGGAGTGCAGCTGCTCTTTTTTTAAAGTGATTCTTAAACGATTTCTCTAAAGCAGCGTGAGGTTATGTGCTGTTTCTGAACAGGTGCGCACTACTGCCCCAGAGAAGTACAGAGTCAAGCCAAGCAACAGCAGCTGCGACCCTGGAGCTTCCGTTGATATCATCGTTTCTCCGCATGGAGGTGAGCTGCCTTGCCTTCTTTTTCTCTGCATGTGTTCTTAATGCCTCATGTTCAGAAGTAGTTGGCCAATATATAATGGACTCCACAGGACTTTCTGTATGCTTTTATTTGGCTGCAGTTTGGTCAGTTTTTGGTTGGTTGCTTGTTTGTTTTGGGTGGTGTTTTATTTTCTTTTCTTGGGTGGAGGGTTATTGTTGTTATTGGATGTTCCTTTGATTTTTAAGAAAGGACTTATAGTTGGATGCGTATGAAAGTACATTTGTACCGAAATCTCGGTGGAGACCTCCAATTGCCGTGCACCGCGCCCCCGTGTCTGCACTCTGTGCACTGGCACCCAGTTCCCCAGTTTCGGGCAAGGGAGCTAGAGGTTAAAATACACAGACACACACAGACAGAGTGACAACGACACGGGTCATCCTTGAATTCCCCAAGAATGCCCCCTTTATTGTGTTCAGGGGCAGATTATATAGAGATAGCCACGCCCCAGCCAAACCCACCAGAAATCACTCTCCTGCCATCAGGAACTCCTGAAGGTCTTGTGCGCAGAGCAGCTGTAGGCACTCAGATCAGGGGATTACAAGAAATTCAGGATCTGGGGTCTCACTGCTCCCAACACGTATGGAGGATCTGTAAGGACTTAAGAATATGACCAAAATATATTTAAGTTTAACTTTTTTTAAATAATAAAATTATTAATTAAGAATCATCATAATGCCTTAAACCATATATCTAGCCCCCTGACAGTTGGTGTTCATATGTTACACTACTCTTGTGGAATGCAGGCTTAAGAGTCTCTGCCCAAGACCGGTTTCTGATAATGGCTGCTGAAATGGAGCAGTCCTCTGGCACTGGGCCAGCAGAATTGACCCAGTTCTGGAAAGAAGTTCCAAGAAGCAAAGTGATGGAGCACAGGTAAACGCTTTTACTCACAGCCTTTCAAATGTGACGGAGGACTCAAAATCAGAAATTCCTTCCTGGGGTGGAGGGCACTGTCCTTACAGCTGTCAGATTCTCGGGGTACCTGGACTGAAAGAGGGATGCCGCCCAGGACTGGCCAGTTGACAGGTGCACATCTCTAACCCCCAAGTCCACCGTATCAGAAAGTTGCTGCGTAGACTGTGGCAGCATTGTCTGAAGCAGTGAAAAGTCAAAGGGAAAGGCAAGACGTGGAGGGCCACGGGAAATCCTAGTTGAGATGCATTGGCGCATGCTCGTGCTGGTGTGCTCTGGAACCACTCCGAGGATTCAGTCACTCTGTTCCCACATGAAGTAACAGTAGATAAACGATTGGAAAAGCTGCCCAAAGAGACATAGATACAGTATCCTTTTGAAAAGAGAGTGAGTGCACAGTTGTACACTTGTGTGACAGCCATATGCCCCTGTATGTCATCTGTGACAAATGTCTTTAAATATATATGGGAAAATAAAGGAAGCAAGAAAAGACTGCTTTCTACTTTGCTTTGCTTTATTCCTTTTTAAAATAAAGTTATAATTTATTTAAGTGACATCAGTTTTACCCCCCCCCCCATGCACCTAAGGACATTTGCCCACACCCAGAGACATCTTTATTTTTCACAACTCAGGGGTGGGGTACAGTGAGCATCTAGCAAATGCTGCTAAGCCTCCTACAATGCACTTGATGGACACTATTCCCCAAAAATCATGAGCCCCCCCCCCAACCAGTAGCACTGAGGTAGGAAACCCTGATTTATGGAGTAGTTGAGGATAGTCTCTCTGCTGACACATTGACTCGGACATGAAGGAAATGAAAGAGGAAGTAACATCGTGACTCACTGTAACTGCACAAAAAGCTTTGTGGTGGCAGGCAAAGCAAGTTTCAAGAAAAAGAAATGTGCTTGGCTTACATGAAAAACAGCAAGGAGGTCTATTTGCCTTAACTGAGGGGAAGGTGTAGCCAAGAGACAGCTAGCAGAGCACTAGATCATTGCTTATGAGGAGTATTGAATTGGGCCCAGCCTAGAGGCGTATTCCATGATCAAAGGATAGCTCTTATCAGCTCATTAAAACTCAAGGAAGAAAGTGTGTTGCAGGGAAATAAATAGCAGTACTAAGTACTGTCATGTGGATAAAGAAAGATGAGGTATTGGTGCTGCCCACTGATGGTCACATTATTAAAGGTACTGATGACCTTCAAGAGCACTGTTAGGATGCAGGAACCACAGAACCAGAGCCCGAGCTGAAGAGATGGATAGGGACAACTGGGCTAAACTAGAGGTGTGGCAGATTACAGAGCAACTATGAAGTTGATGAAGGGATTTTTGGCTTCTTCTGTTGTAGGTTTTTCTTTTTGTTTGGGGTAGTGGTTTGTTTTTGTATTGTATAGGGGATGCATGTTGTCTTAGGGAGTTGTTTGTTTGTTTAGACAGGGTGTCATTGTATAGCCAAGCATTAGCCTCAAACTTGTAACAATTCTCGGCTCAGCCTTTTAAGTATTGACCTTGCAAGTGCTCTCTGCTACGCCCAGCCTGTCTTGAGGTTTTAACCATGAGAAATTTGAGCACTGTTTAAATCAACAGGCTGGAGGAGATATCTCGATACTACAGGGCTTACCTCACATGTTCCATCCCATACACAGCCAAACAAACAAACACAAAAATGAGGGACATGGCAGGCAATAGAGACCTATAATCCCAACACAGAGTACTTGCAGGTTGCAGCAGGAAGATCAAAAGTTTGAGGCTAACATGACCTACATAGGGAAACCATGTTACAAAGAGGGGGGAAAAAGCTAACAAAAACCACTGGAGAAGTTGATATAGGGCCGACTGTGCAAAAGTACCACCTGCTTTTCACAAAATAATACTTACACTTTCAAATTATATCATAGGAACAAACACTGCCTTCTGTCAAGCTTTGTTTGTTTTGGTTTAGTTTGGTTTGTTCTGCTCATGAAACAGGGCTTTGCTTTGTACTCCCGGGGTGACCTGGGCCTCAAGAGCTTTTTGTTTTTGTTTAAAAGCATGGGAAATTTTTGAAAGGTTAAGAAGGAGTGACACAAAAGAATTCAAGATTAATTCAGAGTGCTTATAAAACACTCAAAATGAAGGGGTTTGTTAAATATAAGTTGCTTTGGCTTTTACCAGTTCCTAATGGCTACCTTTTCCAGAGCTCTCTTGAGAGAATCTCTGTTCCCACCTAGAAGGTGGGAGGAATCCTAGTGGTTTGCTGCTAAAAGCTCAAGTAAAGCACCATCCACCCTTCTAGACATTGAAAGATAAGTGGGGTAAATTCTACTGAACAACATAGAAAAAAAGCTTTCTATTGCATCCCGTGGGGCAGTGGGCAGTGTACACAGTCTCTTGTTCTTTATACACATTTGGTAGCTAAAGGAGACTGAGGGTTAAGCTCCGTGGTTTAGAAGCAAGCACAAAGCCCCAGCTTTCATTTCCCCTGGAGAATAAAAGGCCTTGGAAGATAATAGATAAGTATAGACTGAGCTGCTTGTTGAATTGTGCTTATGGAGAGGCGTGAAACCTTGTACCTCTGGTACACAAGCACCTGCATTTAACCCTGCATTCCCTCTTCTACTTTCAGAAAAAAAAATGTTTGCTAAAACTTTGAAGAAGTTATGTTGCCTTTACATTTCCTAGGTTACGATGCCATACTGTTGAGAGCAGCAAACCGAACACTCTCACACTGAAAGACAGTGCTTCTAACATGTCAGATAAAACCAGTGAAGATCTGTATCTGCAAGTAAGTGTGCTTTCTCCTTGCCTAAACACATCGCCAGTGGTCATCAGCACCAGAAGGCCGTCTGTGCTCCCCTAATGGAAGGGAGTCTTTTAGCAGAGACACAGTGAAAGTTTGCTGTTTGCTCTCTAGCCCTCTCTTTTCTTCCTCGGTTTGGTTTTGTTTCTCTTGTGGGGTTTAGGGTTTGTTGTTTGTTGGGGTTTCTGTGTTTTTGCTGTTGGAGACAAAGACTCACCTTGAACCCAGTCTGGCCTGAAACTTATAATCCTCCTGCCTCAGCCTTCCAAGTGCTAGATTTGCAGGTGTGAGCCCCTACTCCTGGCTTGGAAGCGCCCTCTTCTCCGCGAAGAGGCTAGTTAGAAATGGTAAACCACGGGCTGCATTCCGACAGCCACAAGCCTTTAAAGATTCCGGTAATTTTACTGTGGAATCGGGGCCAAGTAGTAAAGCACATGGTGCTTTGGTGAAGTACAAAAGAGTTCCATCTTGTCACCAACTAGTGTGTTTCAATCGGAAAGAAACAAAGGGGCTTTGCGTCTGTAACCCAGTGGTGGAATTCTTCCTTGCCATGGCAGTGCTTTAGGTGTGATGCCCACATGAAAGAGAAACCGAAGAGATATAAATAGTTCAAATGTATCTGAACCTCCAGGAAGTGATTACTCTGTTCCTGTTTCAACTAGAAAATGGGACTTTTCAGAGTAGAGCAAGAAGGACATATATGTCCACCAGACTTTACATTGGATGTCTTCTTGTATTTTTAGCCCCCAGCTTTTCAGAGTAGATGGGCCCCATCCCTTCAGTGTTTGGAGTTCTGATAGTCCAGTTTGGCATGCTCCTGATTAATGATTGTTTCGTTGATGTCAATCTTTCGTCCCTTTTTTTTTTCTTCCCATTCAGCTCAATCGTTTACTAGAAAGCAATAGGAAACTTGAAGACCAACTCCAGCGCTCTCTCTGGTTCCAGCAGCTGCTGCTTGCCTTAACAATGGTCTTGCTTGCTTTTGTTGTTTCTTTCTTTTATTCGTTATACAGTTAAAGAAGTGGTGCTTGGTCAGAAACGTAACTCCTTTAGACATTGTTTGGAGAAGATATACAGACCGCACTCAAACTTCTCCACCCACCTTCTAGAACTACTGTACATCTGGGCTTCCTAAAAGAAATATGTAGCACATAGCAGGGTGCCTGGCTTGAAACTAAGTTGTTTGGATAGAGAAATGTTCAAGGCATTGATTATTAGAGACTGTAGCTAGTTAGGAAACTAAGTAAAGGCATATGCAGTGTGTAAATCAATAGCTTAAACATAATTTATTTTTTCTTTTTCATTTGAATGAGTTCAAAGCAAAGTTTGTCATGTAAATGCACAAGCTGGGCTGAAAAGTCTATGTAACATGCTTTGTTGTTGCCAAAAGATGTAATCTGCTTTTTTTTAAAATACAGAATTACTAGCTGAGCTGACTTACTAGCTTTTCTATACTATGTATGTAAAATATGTATATTGAAAAGGAGACCTACTTAAGCAGAGTAATTTATGTAACCATGACTTTGTAACTTTGAGAACTACTTCCAGATGATAGTCAATATTCTTTTTGGAATGTAAAGCTATTTAATGCCAAACCATTTTAGCCTTTGTTTCTCAGCGTCGCTGAGCAGCCTGCCTCTTATTAATCTGGGCTCTTCACTGATCACTTTGGTTTTGACACAATATGGAAAGCTACATGTGGTTCAATTTTCATAGATTTCTGGTAGCCATGCCCAGAAGGAAAGTCTCCAAAACAGCCCCCTTTCTCGTCAGTTCTATGCAGTTTCATGCCATTCACTGTGTTTGAACAGTGAACCTTTGCCTGGTTTTGTATAAGGGCCTACTCTTCCATTGTCCCATCTTCACCTACATTTCAGGGCAAAGGAGTCTCCTCTGTGGACCACAAATTATGCCTTGTTCACCCTCACTTTTCCATGAGAGGAAGGCATTAGGTAACGTTGTTGAAACTCTGCTTGTTTTAGCTGATCATTAGTCTAACTAACCTTAGGTTCAAAATGATCCTTGTTAAAATTGTTGGTGAGAAGGAAACGCTGAAAAGACTGGAGTATCGTGTGTGCAATTATAAAAAGAGGCTCAGAGAATGGGAGCCACCACTCCCAATGGGCTCTCAGGACCACTTTGATACTCTGCCTTCGGTACATTCATCTGACTCCTAAATCCCTACCGAGATACACCTTGCAGAACCAGAGGCTGATGCAATTAGTTTGTGTTGTCATTAGCATGACCAGTTTCAGTTGCTTTAGGTTCAAATGTACATCTGTTTTGATGAAAGAAAAGTAGTCTGCCTAGCAAATGAATGTTTAGCCATGTTTGGAGATTTAGGATTCTCAGGAGTAGAGTTGGGGGCTCTCAACTTGAAGAAATTGATTCCAACACTGAATTTGGAGGAGTGATGGAACAGAGCTTCTGAAAAAGTCAGCTGAGGAATTAAAACCTTAAAAGGACACTAGTGTGATACTCTGTCTTAACTTGGGTTTTTCTGTTTCAGTTTGCCACCTCCAGATGTGGAACAGACTGCAGTCCACACTAAGTCCTGTGCACAGTGTCTATGCCCCTGTATGTCCACAGAGACTTCCCACTGTGCTGGGAATCTTCCCAAGTGGTAGATTCGGGGCCTTAATACTCTCATTCCAAAGTATTTGTCTGTGCTTTACATTCCTCATAAAGAAATGAGGAATCAATTAACCAAGATGAGGAATATAATTATCCTAACAGTGTTCCTTCAATGTTGACCCACTAAACACCCTTCCTTGCTTAATGTCTGGTCAGTTGAATTTAGTAACATACCTTGTTGGCATTCATTGTAGTGTAACATACATGAATGTAACATTGTTACATCACTCCTCAAAACTGTGTGGTAAATGTGACTAAACAGAACTGTGGACAATTAACCATAATGTCGAAGGCGTCTAAACTTTTCTGCCAATCTTGATTAGTCTATATATTTGCATTTTATTGGTTCTGTCTTCATTTAATCGAATCATATTTGCATGATTATTTTTGGTATTCTGATCAATACTTTTATCTTTAATCATGCCATTGCTTTCTTGTGATCAAATTGCCAGAGATTTTCATTTTGATTTTTGTTTTCACTTGGGAATGGAAATTAATACATTTTCCATGAAAACATTAATAAAAGATCATTAGCTTGATCTGTAAGCCGCCTAAAATGCAATTGCTGGTAAGCCTAGTCTCAAATTTCATAAAACCATAACTTTTTATATCTTGCCACTAATTTTGACTGGATTTAATAGCACTTTATTGTATAATTATAAAAAATATATTCCTAGAATTGTTGCCAGTGTAATTTCTCTAATGTTCTGGTGCTTTTCATATATTTTCAGTATTTTTATTACTATATTGGTATTTTCTTTGTATGAATTGATCAAAAGAACATGTTTTCTATTTTAATATGTTTTAGAAAATAATTACATTTATGAAATAAATATCATCAGGAAAAACTTTTGTCTCTAATTGAGAAATCATTGTCTTAAAAAAAAATCAGTGTTCAGACCAGACCATCTCTGCCCTTTTAAAGATCATCAGAATTTCATTTGGATCACCTTTGCATTTTTATAAGGACCCTACTTTGGGCTTCCAAAGGTGACTGCCATGTCAAGAACCCCTGTCCTTGAGTGTGTCCAGTTTCTCCTTGTCCCTGTGTCTAGTTAAGGCTGCACAGCAGTGTAGTTTTTGACATTAAACTCAAGGCTTTGGCTTGAGACTCTGGAACCACCTAAGTCTGGACTGCCCCATGTACCCTCTTGCGTCCTGGTAGCCACATACCTTTGTACTTGACAGGTGATTGGCACAAGGAGAGCTCAAGCTGGTGACAGAAGCTAATAATTTCTGTCCCCTAACTATTCAAAGACATAACTTTTCCAGAAAGCAGCCCCCCTCCATAAAAATCAAATGAATAACTGATCCTCCTCCATTGAGATGCAGAGATACAGAATCAGATTAGGAAAAGGGCCCATGTGATAAAAGAGAGACTTGCAAAGACAGAACATTAACCTGCAGATTAAGTACCAACCTGGGACTGGGTGATCCTTCCTAAAGGAAGATTTTCTTGGCAGCACGTTTCTCGGGGGAATTCTCTGCCTAGCGAAGGGTCGATAACAGCAAGCTGCTCTTTCTCCCTGCATTTTTCAGCACTCACTGGAGGGTTCCTGACCTCACTGGTAGCATGGGCCCTCCCAACACACAGGGTGTTTCCTTCCTCCAGAACCCAAAGGAACTGGCTGGAATTTTTCCCACTTGTTCCATCTGAGACAGTGGTTAGGCAGACTGCCCGTGTCCTGGTCACCTCCCTTCATATCTGGGGCAAGGTAAACCATGTGTACTTTCTCCCTTTGGGGTGATTGTAGCTTAGACACGATAGGGGCGAGAGTGAGGAAATAATGTATTTAACCTGTCTACTGAGGCTGGCCTGCCTCTGCCTTCTTAGAACTGTTATAGGTGAATATCCTGAACACTGCACCTTCCTGAGAGCCAAGTATCAGTTCTTCAAATTTCCCTGCTTGGTATTCCTACCTCTGCCCTGGCACCCCAATATAATCACCCATCAGATCTTTTCCATTTGCCTACTGATGGTTTCCTTCTTTGAATAAACAGTATTTTAACATCCAAAATCTCATACCTTCCCTACTCCACTCACGTTTCCTAATCTTTTGTGCATGTTAAAACATTTGAAGATAACCAGGACTAGGAACTTAGCTCACTCAGAAAAATTGCTAGCCTTTTAGACAAAACAACCAGAGTTTGATCCCCAAAGCACACATTTAAAAAAAAAGGAAGAAGAGAAAGGAAGGAAGGAAGGAAGGAAGGAAGAAAGCAAGAAAGCAAGAAAGCAAGAAAGAAAGAAAGAAAGAAAGAAAGAAAATAGCCGGGCATATTATCATACACTCATAATTCAAACACTAGGGAAGCAGAGAGGAGAATATCACTGCTCACTGGCCACCCAGTCTACATATGCAGCAAGCTTCACATTTAGTAAAAGACCCTTTTTCAAAAAAAAAAAAAAATGGTGGCTAATACGTAAGGAAAGACACCTAAGATTGTAGTCTGAATCTTATACACATATACCACACACCAAAATTTTCAAGATAGTTGGTTTAATTGACCAGATCATTGTCTGTAAACAGAATACACACACTCTAGAGCAAGTTTGGTCCTTGAAACAAGTTTTCCATGCTCCTTTCTCCTAACAGCCTGCCTCAGTGTATCATAGTCTTGGGTTTTATGGACAAGGAAAATGAGGAGCCTAGAAGTCATTCTTTTTCCCAAGATTGCATACTATGCAACTTCAGAGCTAAGTTGAGCCACCTTCCCCCTGGTAAAGTCTGTTAAAAAAACACCCAGAGATAGCTCTATACTGGGTTGCTCAGGCATGGTGGAGGGGCCACTCTCCTGAGTGCTTCAGCATGTGAAGGGCAGGCCTAGCTCCTGCTCATCTGACCTCAGGGCCAGCTCTCCCAAGGCTGGCCTCAAGCATTGATGGGTGTGTTGGGGGGGGAGTCTCTGGCTTGATAAATGAATGAGTATCTACCCCATCTGGGGTGTGCTGGAGCACATGAAGGAACAGGCCCTGCCGACCCAAAGCTGCAGCATCTCCACAACACGGCAACAGCAGGATAACCAAGAGTTCTAGTGAGGGCCCAGCATTGATAGTGTAGCAGAAACCAGAGGCCTTGAACCAGACCAATGACTCTCGGCAATGAACACTTGCAAGATCTATGGACACAGCGGTTCATGGCATGACTCATGGTATCACACTACAGCTTCCGTGACAAGATTGTTGTTTTTCCTTTTTTTTTTCTTTTTTCTCTTAAATTTTGTGAGGGGTAGATATGCAAGGACAGGAAATGAATGGAATTGAGATGCATGATGTGAAAGACACAAAGAATAAATAAAAGACGTTTAAAAAAAAACAAAACCAGAGCTGCTGCATCTGAGAAACTGGTTAAAATGTAGAATGGGGAAATCCAACCCTGCTTTACCTTCACTAAATGGGATGAAAAGAAAAAGGGAATGAACAGAAAAGGCTCAAAGTAAAACAGGTGGTATAAAAAATGAACAACTGGTTTCTTGGGACTGGAGAGATGACTCGGTGGGTAAGGGCACTTCCAGAGTTTGGATCCTAACCCCCAGGTTAAAAAGCAGGGTGTGGTCATACATGTAATTGCAGAGCTGGGAGAGACACAGAGACAGGAGGATTGCTGGGTCTTGCTGGCCATCAGCCTAGCTCCATGTTCACTGAGTTAACATTATTTCAGTGGAATGTTCTTATGTGTGCATACACCCCCCCACACACACAGACATATACACACACTGAGATTTTTAGTTTTCTAAGTGACAGATGGACTATTTGGGATCCCTCAGTTCTTATCTTTTTGAATGTAGTCAAGAGCCATAGACAATTTCAGCATATATTTAGCAAATCTCAGCAAAGCTAAGCAAAGTAAATACTCCCAAGAGAGGTTGGAGCGGGCTGCCCCAGAGCAGGGAGCAGCCCAGTAGGTTCTGCAGCATGAATTTTAAAAGGTTTCATATGAATATTTTTATGCTTTTTTTTTGAGACAGGGTTTCTCTGTAGCTTTGGAGCCTATCCTAGAACTAGCTCTTGTAGACCAGGCTGGCCTCAAACTCACAGAGATCTTCCTGTCTCTGCCTCCTGAGTGCTGGGATTAAAGGTATATGCCACTATCGCCTGGCTCATATGAATATTTTTAAGTGGGTGGCATACTCCGGGAGTATGCCTTTTTCCTTCCTGTTATGATAGATGGAAGCCCCTTTGGGGGATGTTTCTTGTTATGATATTCTAGAAAAGTCCACAAAAACAGGGGAGTGTCAAAACAAGTGATATTTTATTGATGTCCAACTTTTTGAGAGTTGTGGGCCCTTTATTAGTGCGCAGGTGTGGGAGAGTGCCCAGGTGCTTTAGCTTGACTTGGTGGCAGAGGGCCTTACTGTTAGCTCCCCAGCGCTACTCCTTTGGAAACTTCATTAAGCCTAAGCCTGCAAAGTGTCTGCCATACAGCATACCTTAATTAGAAGAGTGATAGAAAGTCACATTCTCAAGCCCCACCCCCACTGGCAAGTAGACGGTTCATAGAAGGCTGTGTTGGGTGGGACCTATCTGAAAGTTCTCCCAACTCAGGACCCCAGGAATCAGGGTCAGAGCTCAACCTTGTGGTAAGCTGGTGGAGGGCTTTCGAGATGTTCCTCACTTCTGAGAACATCCATGAGAGCTTCTCTGCTAGTCACCAAGTGCCAGGCTCTGGAGAGTTTCTCTCTAGCCTAGTCGCAGCTTTAGTCTCTCATGACTAAATTCTTCAGAGAAAGCACATGGCCCCACCTTGAACGTTAATCCCATTTCAAAGGCACTAAAAAAAGATTCTGACAGTGAGTTCATTGGCTAGGACAAAGGGTATTTCCAGGAATTGTGTACTCTTCTAAATGATGCTCTAGTAAGACCCACTCGCTTTTAAAACATGTCTCTTGCGTAAGCTTCGGAATCATCCATATACTTCAGTGGGATTATTCACGTTTATTTTCTTACACATAAGGATTCTCTATGAAAATGTTGAAACTATAAAGGGGAAAATGGGAAGAATGAAAAGGAGAGCACGTACCCTCTTTTCCCCATGACCTGCATGCAGTTTCTAACATTTAAGCTGTCCGATTCGTTTCGAACCAAGTTTACCTTACAAGCTCTTTTTTTGCCAGCAGACTCTTTCTGCATTTTCAAGTCGTTCTCAAGCTGCGCATGCATGATGAAAATCTCACTGATTTCCTGATTTATATCAGAATTTGATATGTAGAAATTGCTGACTGTGAGAAACTTCCCAAACTTTTGATATTATGCCTGCTCCCTTTCCTTGCTGGAGCTGGGATTATAACAAATTAAGAAATCATTTGTCTTTCCCTAATGTAATAGTCACCTGTCACTTTTATGAACCAGACGCTCTTATGCTTCCATACAGATTCATTGATTAAAACTTACTTGCAGTCCAATTTGTACTGAAATGTAATGAAATGCAGATGGGGTAGAGGAACATGAATCAGAAGCCAAACTAAAAAGTGCTCTAAACTGTCAACTAAATGTCAAAACAAAAGGGATTTCACTATCACAACCCCGTGACTCCAACTATTTCCTTCTGGTAGTGGAGACTAAAGGAGGTTATTATTATAAGACAAGAAAAGTAGTCTGACATAGTCCAGAAAATGGACCTTTCTAATGTGACTTGAACTGATAGGTGGTAAAAAGAGGAAGTTGAAAGAAAATTGATAGAAGCAGGTGGATCTCTGTGAGTTCGAGGCCAGCATGGTCTATAAGAGCTAGTTCCAGGACAGGCTCCAAAGCTACAGAGAAACACTGTCTTGAAAAAAAAAGCGAATTGATATAAAAAGCAAATCTTCTTTACAAGTCCAGTACTTCTCTGAGATTG